ACAGTAAATGCAGCAAGACCCTTTTAAAACCACTTTGCCTTTCAGTTAATCTTGTCTAGAGGAAACCGGCAGAGAACACAATCTAAAACTTGGAGTTTTTTTACTGTATATTCATAACCTTGAAGAAAAACTCAGAGTCAACAGCTTTTATTAAGTATTTATCCTGTACCAAGAGCTCTAATGATCTGGCTTAACCCTCACCACAGACCCGGGAGGAAAGCATCTTTATCCCCAAGGTCACACAACTAATGATGTGTTTGCTCCAAGTGCATCTCTTTCCACTAAGCTATGCTGCTGCCCCAGAATCTATAATAATGACCCCTAGAAAAACCTCACCTCACACACACACACACACACACACAAACTAGCTTATATTTTATCCTAGTATTTGCAACCATAGGAGTTAATTTCACAGGCTTGTAAAATGAGCAAGCCATCTAAACAGATGTCTAAGGTTGTTAAAAAATGGCAAGTCAGTGATTGCTTCTCCTTCGATGCATAATATGCTTCCATTTCCTTGTGTTTTCTTAAAGTTACCAACTTTTTTCTTATTTATAAAAGCAAAACTACCTGCCAGGGAAAGTTTGGAAAGTTACAGTGAATATAAAAAAGGAAATTAATGTTAACATTTTTGAGTATTTCGTTGATTAAAAGATACTTAATAAAGTTTTAATCAAAAATTTTCATTTAATAATATAGACTTTCCCATGTTACTAAATAACTCTTGTAAACACATTTTTAATGACAGTATAAAATATAATTCTGTAAGACTGTATTTATTTTCATCATTGCCCACTGCAGGGCACTTATTTTTCATCTTTTCACTGTTATAAACAATGTGCCCTGGCATGTCATCGCACATCAGCTCTGCCCAAATCTCTGATTATTATTCTAGGAGAGATTACTAATACCAGGATTTCGGGGTCAAAGGATATTAAGGGTACTATTACAATATTTCCTCTTCCTTTTAGTCAAATCTACTTCAGTAATAAAGCAAGCATTGTTGATGGGGGACAAGAGGATTCTAAAGAGAAAAAAAGTTATTGGTGAGGCTGTTTATCTAATTTTTTTGAAGTAAGAGCTGTCGAACTGGGTCCAGTTTAGTCCCACATGACTTAGGATGCAGAGCATACACTAAATACTAAACTACCTGCAGTCCATTGATCAATAAGCCAGTCTTCCCAGATGCCAGCCAGCCTCGCAGCCAGGCTCAGGGAAGCCTCTAGGACACGCCGCAAATCCCTTCCCAAGTTTGTCCTTGCAGACAAGTGAGGTCCACATCAGTCTCCTGTTTCATAAGCAGCGTCTGCGTTTCTTTGCGCCCGGCTGTGTGCTTGTGCTTCATGCCCTTCTTCCTTTCTCTAGAAAAATGCTCAAGTTCTCGTCATTTCCAAACACACAGGCTTTCTTAAATACTTACAGCTAGTTCCCAGAACATCTCCATTAATCTTCTTGTGTTTCATTTGACCTCTCTTTTATCAGTGGAGGAAAATGTGTTCTTACAGGCATGAAAGAAATTTGTAGAAGCAAAACTAAGAAACAAAAGTAAATCGATTCTGTAAGATATATAGGCCAGACCAAAAGCTATAGAGAATGATTATAACAAACACTATTTACCCACTGAACAGCTTAGGAATGAAACATTGCACATAATTGAAACCCTCTGTGGCCCCCAATCACATTCCCCTTTCCCTTCCCGGAGGTGTCTACTGATCTGAATTCAGTGTTTACCAGTCCCATGCCTGTCTTTATATAGCTCTCTATGCAGCTGGGTCACTAGAATGTAGGTTTCAGGAAAGCAGGCACTTTGCTTTCGTTGCTGCTGTATCACCATTATCTAACACAGCCACTGGCACAGGTTAGGTATTCAATAAATATTTATTGTATGTAAAATAGACTGTGTTGTTTGCAAGCAACGTAGGGTGTTTTTTTCATGTTTCCAACCCCGTAAAAATCGCCCCATATTGTGCATATCCTTCTCAATCCATGCAGATGATGTAACTCTGCGTCACTCGTTTTGACTGCCATGTAACATCCCAGTGTAAGACCAAAACACGATTTAGTTATCCGTTCTTCTAATAATGAGCATTTAGGTTGTTTCCGATTCTTGATTTTGTAAATTTGGTGCAGTGAACTTCCTGGCACTTTCTTACTCAACTGTGTAAGGATTTCTCTATAACAGACAGCAGGGGAGAACATGGAAAGGGGCTGGCCCTTGCCTCTGATAAACCTCTTCCTCTTCCAGATCTCTCCTGGGGTGAACAGGAAGTTGGGAGGTCAGCACGGTCCTCTGGACATCAGCTTCCTCGCAAGTGATGTGGGGCCACTTGGCCAGCCAGTCTTTCCGTGGGTTTGGGCATCTTCAACTTTAGCACACATTTCTAAATTGCTCTCACTAAACTTATCCTTTTAAATATTTAAATGTAATAATTACATACCAAAAGTAATTAGACTCATGCAATTCTATCACTTTATGCAATTCTACCAGTAAAAAACCATGTAAGCCCAGTAATGCTACACCTGAAATACACATTTCACTCTAAATTAGAAACATTTTTAGGAACAATGGTCCAGTAGTTAGGTAAGGTCTGTAGACTGCTTCCATGTAACATTTCTATATTTTTCTTAATCAGGCCCTCTCTCCCTGAGAAAATGGAAATTTCGTTCTCAGTCATGGTATAGGGTGCCCCTTCTTTCTCTCCTCCAGGGTCTTACTACAGTCTGAGAAGATTTACCTGGTCTAAGAAGTTTGAGGAAGGGGCTTCTGGTCTTCAGCTCTTTATGGTCAACCTGAGATGCCTACTGTTCAAGCCTAGGTGATCCACTCAAAAGTGGACTGCCCCCCTCACAGCATGCATGCTAGGGGGACCATCTGGACCACAGGGGCAGCTGAGATCTCAGCCATCCACCTGCCATCCCCACTACTGGTCTTGGCATTTCCTGGGACTGTTGGCGTGGGAGTGGGGTCAGATCTCCTCCATTCACAAACTGCCAGTCCCTTCCATGCTGAGATATTCCCACTCCCCTGGCTGGGGAAGGCAGTCTTGGTCTATTCCCCTCCCCTCAGTTCTCACTCTCACGACACCCTTTCTTGGACAGTATTACTCCTAAAGCATAGTATTCTCTTATATATATATATTTTTTGTAATGAACCAATAGCAGAAAATAAGGCACAGTTACTTCTTCATCACATGTCTGACTAGCTTTATTTCTAGGAATTTCTAATCATCTTGATTTTCATCAGCTTTTAATTACTCTGAGAATTAAATAACACAGCAGGAAATTAATATTTATTGACAAGAAAAAAATCATTGTCAGGCACAGTCAGGTTGCATAGATAACACCTCTTTCTACCTGCAGCTCTTCACTATGGAAAGTGAAGCCAGGCAAAACTAGGTTTTAAAAGCTTTGCAGCTGATTCTAATGTGCATCTGGGGTGAGACCCATTGCCACTGGCTAAGAAGGCAGATAGCTGAAAGGGATAAGAGCATGTTTATCTTAAGTTTCTTGAACTAGGAAATAGTTGCTTAAATATATGGGACTTCTGAATCAATAAAATTTTAATTTTTAATTGAAATTCTAATTTTAAAAAATTTAATGTATCCTGCTTTAAAGAAATAAAGCTTACACTCTTATCAAGTCCAGTGTGAGTACCAAGTAGAAACACTGACATTCAGAGAAATCTGTGAAGGCTCTAAATCTTAGGCTCTTAAAACGAGCAGAGTGATCACTTCTGGCTTCGGGTACATCTAGTATCTGAAAGATAGGACATAGTTCTAGATCTTGCCCAAGAATGTAAATTTCACTAATGAAAGAGTCATCAAGGCAGAAAAAAAGAACATTTTCAAACACGGACGGAGTCTGGTGGATGCTGATAAACTGACTCAGACCTTATGGAACAGGTCACCACACACACACAGTAAGCAAAGGGGTAAATAAGAGGTTATGTCATTCCTAGCTTCATTGCAAAACGTGGATCAAATGAAGAGCATTAAAATAATAGTAAATGTCACAGGAAACATACAAAGCAAGACAAAGAAAGAATGGATGTTTGCTTGGAGACCCACTCCTCCTTCCTTTAAACAGGGATTTGTTACCAAACTCAGATTAGAGCATAAATGTGTTTGCTCACATACATGAGCCTCAGTGAAAATGAAAAAAAGCATAATATCCATTCTCTTGTGGAAGTTAATTTGTGAATCCTACCATTCTACATTTCAAGTTGTTTTAAAATGATCCAGAGAGTCAATCAAAATGTTCTAGGAACATTGTTTGAAGAACAGAAAGTTTTCTTTGTAGAAGGACAAACAGTGGTCTTTGGAAAGCATTTCTGACTTTCTACTTTTTAAGAATACTTCCTGTCTTTCCTTTCCAAACTCTTATCCTATCAAAAAGTTGTAGACAAGAAAGCAGATGGTGTATATTATCCACATTTATTAACTTTAGCACTGCAGCTTCCACACAAGAAGGTGAACAGGCCAAGGAACGCTTTCACTGCCTAGATCTGGGGTAACTTGGTCTGGTGCATTGTAGGTACTTAGCAAATATTTGTTGACTAACAGGATGAATGGATGGATGAGAATTATATGTGAGTCCTGAATTTTTTGTTTATTTTTTACTTGAATAATACATATTCATTTTATAGAAATTATTAAATGTAGATATTTAAAAGGAAAACATCTGTAACCAAGCACCCAAGTGTAAACCACTTAATGTTAACATTTTAATTTTTATAATAGATTTTTGTATGTACACAACCATTTCTATAAAAATGGGGTCACAGTATTTCTACTCTTTAGTTGCCTATTTATTCACATAATACTATGTTGTAAATCTCTTTCAATATTAATCAATGTGCTTCCTCACTATGTTTGAGTAGTTGCATAAAACACAATAGTTTGGGAATCTTGCAGGTCTCTATGCCTTAAAATAATAAATCTGGGTTTGCTGACAATATTCTTGAGATAGGCTAAGAATATTATTATTAATATCTTGGGGTGGGGAGTATAGCTCAGTGGTAGAGAGAATGCTTGACGTGCATGAGGTCCTGGGTTCAATTCCCAGTGCCTCCCTTAAGGAGGAAGAATATATGTACGTATATGTGTGTGTGTGTGTCTATATATTTAAAAAAAAAAACTTGTACCCTGCTTTACGGCAGAAAAGTAATTTGTATCAATTCTGTGTAAACTAGAACTTCTACCATGCTTCAGTTTATCTGAAAATTTGCTCTCTTGACTACTTTGTGTTCCTGCTGCCTTATTTGCATCCTAGCATCAAATCCTTTTTTTATGGCTTGTAAAGAATTCAGATCCTAATGGATAATCCTGTGGGGTTATAATAAATACGGATTAGTTGGGTGTGAATTAATGAACCATTTCCAAAAAATTATAGGAGTGTGTTGGAGAAAGGACCTTGTTTTTCTCTCCTAATATTTGGGGGGACCCACTAACTAGCACCCTTTCTCCCTGCCTGACTTCTGAACAATTGAGAAGTCCCCAAAGCACTCCCCGTCTCCTCTGGAGAGGAGTAAGTGGGCAGAGCTCAGCAGAGTTAGTCTGGTAATAAGTTAGGCTCACGTTGACTTAATGCTTTACGGTTTTTGTACAGCATCCCATCTGAGTCAAGAAAATGTTGATGTGTTGATTCAACAACTACATTTTGAACACCTACTACATGTCAGGCACAATGACGGATTCTGGGGTTACAAAACCTAATTAAGATTTTCTTAGTCCTTACCTTCAAAGATCTCAGTCTTGTGGGAAAGACAATCATGTTACAAAAGCATATCCTCATTATGTAAGTATCTTAGCTAAGATTTTTTTGGTTGCAAGTCACAAAAATCTGTTTAAATTAGCTTCAGCAAAAAAAAAAAAGTAAACTTATTATAAAGCTTTGGGGACCTGTCACAAATCCAAAGAAAATGCACCTGAGCATTAGGAACAATGCTAAAGTAGGTGCTGAAAGGCCGTTAAGAATTTCCCTCCATTGTATGCAGTTCCTTCTTTTTCTCTCTTTGCAGACCTCTTTACATAGCGGTCTACCAACTGGTCCAGCCAACACAGAGGCCAGTCGTCTCAGTCTAAATTCCTCAGGAAGGATGGTAATTGTCCAAACTTGGTTCAGGTGTGCTCTTGATCCAGTCACCTGTGGTCAGGATAACATTTTAGGGGCAGGATGGGCACAGAGTCCAATAGATGCACATTCTGTTGAGAAACTATAGAAACGCTGTGAGTCAATGAGGAGAGAGCCACTTACTCTGGCTTCTATGTTCAAGGCACTGTGGAAGGTGAATGACATACGCAACTAATTTTAATGTAGGACAGAGTATGATGTGGTGTGCACTTTCACAGAGATGCAGCCTGCACTGGAGCACCTGGGAAAAGGAGATCCATCCCAACGGGAGGGAGGAGAGAGATTCTTGAGTTCAGTCTTAAAATGGGTCTTCCAACAAGAGGGGTTGTAGGTAGCTAGGCAGAGCATTCTAGGGAAAGGCAATAGGCTGAAGACAGAGGCTGGAAACAGCAATGTGCACAGAGGAACAGCCAGGAGGGCATGAGGGGCAGACAGAGGCACGGACGAGCCTGGGGGGTGTTGTTGACTGGCTGGCTGGTCTGACTCCTGCTGAAATTTCCAAGCCCCCTCTCCCCAGGACACATTTTTCTCATTCATGAAAGCGAAGTGCTGCCACTTCAGGGTCCCGTGGAGAGAATACTGATATCAGGCCAGGGGAGAAAAAGCAACAGCTCAAGATTCCCTTTTTGAAAAGCTCACTGCCACTTTCAGTAGATGAAAACTGTGTCTCTGCAATTCATCGAAGGCAGTGAGTAGTCTGTTCTTGAGTTGCTGTGGCAACTGCTCAATTAACTGGGAAAAAAAATGAAGAAACATGCACTGTAGTGGTTCTTGAGCTGAACATTCTTTTTTTTTAAAGAAGGAAAGAAAGAAAGAAGGCAGTGTGTTTGGTGAGTTATTCTCCCTAGGCTGACCTAAGACTTTGAACTTCACTTTGCATTTCCAGCAGCGCGTCCTGTTCACCCCTCCCCGCCAAGCCAGGTGCTAGGCTGCCGTCATCGTGGTTGGGAACAAGAGCTCCAGATTTCATCTTGGAACGTCCTGTGGGAATGTTTGCCTACATCCGGCTTCCACCAAAGGATGCTTGGATAGATTCTGATTTTTAAGGTAGCGGAGTGGAGCCCATATGGAAAGAGCAGATGGGAAGAGTAGGTGGGTCTAGCACTGGATTTGACCCCAGATTTAGCTTCTTACCTTAGACAAGGAATGTGGCTTTTGGAAGACATAAAAAAATAACTCCTGCCTTGATAACCTAAGAAACAGAGGCTATAATAATAACACCCAAGATTTGTATGATGATTTACTATTTACGAAACTTTCAGTCGGCATCGTATTTCCTCTCAGCCACCACCCTCCGGGGTGGACGTGGTTCTTTCGGCTTTATACAGGACGCCTCCAATCCATGATTCAGCTTCATGAACAAGCTTTAGGAAAACACAGAACTGATCGCGTCACTTCCCAGCTTCCAGGCCTCCATGCCTTCCTGCCCTCTGCTCCTGGAGCAAAACCTGAGTCCTCACCGTGGCCCGGAGGCCCTGCCGGAGGCCTCTGCACCCCGGCCTCCCTCCGGCCCTCCCGGCTCTGTGCCCAGCCCACCCGGCCTCCCCCAGCTCCTCTGGGGTGCGGGCTGCACCTCCTTCGGGCCTTTGCAGCCGCTGAGGGCTCTTCCTGGGACAGACTTGTCTTTCCCCGCCCACCCTCCCCTTCCTTCCCCACTTGGTCAACTTAGAGTCCACTCCCTGACCCCAGTGCACACCAGGGCTCCTGTTTTAATTTTCCTAACACCCTGTGTTTGATATAATCCATATTTAATACACATTTTCTTATGTGATTACCTAATTAATGTGTCTCCCCAACTAGACACGCCGCTCCTGAGCACAGCGACCAGGTGTGTTCGCCGGCCCAGGCCAGTGCCCGGCAGGGCAGGCCTCGGTGTTGAATGACGGCCTCAGTGACGTGACCAAGAGCACCCAGCAGTTTGGACTCAAACCCAGTCCCTAGGAATCCAGGGCCTTTCCTAGCATCGCACACTGCATGGCAGGACTTAGGGAAAAACCCATTGTGTAAGCTACTGCACAAATATGAAGCATTGAAATCCAGAGAAAGTTCAGTGGGTCCTGTGGGACCAGATTAACTCAGATGTGGACATGTGTGGACGTATTATGAACAGTAACTCCTGGAATCTGTGCTGGGGTCCTCCTGCATAGAAAAGAACGTCAGGGCTCCTCGTTCGTCCATTCTTAGAGAAAAGCTCACTGGGTCTTTGTACCTGATCCTCTGGTTCTCACGTCCAGAGGTGTGACACTGACATTTGTGTCACCCCTACCCCCAGGCCTCAGTTTCCCTTCTTGTAAATGGGGGATCCTGAGACCTCCCGTGCAGACTTCCTTGAACCTATCCACGCGTTGAGTATCCCTCTTTCCAGCCTGCGGTCTCTTGTGCACAGAGCTCGGTAGTGGGTGGACTCAGAGCGGGGGCGACACTTGGGAAGGAGGAGGCTGACAACTTATAAGTGTTTCTGGGAAGCTAATGTTCAAAAGTAAACATTGCTTTCAGCATAAAATAATTATTGTATGGATCACCCAGTTCTCATATAGTAATTTTTTTTTAATTGAGATGTGACTGACACATATTATGCTCATGTTAGGTGTATAACATAATGATTCCATATCTGTGTATCTTGCAAAATGATCCCCACAATAAGTCTAGTTAACATCCACCACCACACAGTTACAAATATTTTTTCTCATGATGGGAACGTTTAAGAACTACTCCCATGGTAACTTTCACATATGCGACACAGTACAGTGCTAACTATAGTCACCACGCTGTCCATCCCAGGACTTATCTCATAACTGGGAGTTTGTGCTTTTTAACTGGAGGTTTATCCCATCACCCATTTCATATGATAATTTCTTACCTGATTTTTTTTTCTAAAATAGATACCAATGTGTCAGGTCCATGGCACCATCTCCTCCATATTTAGCCCCCTTCAGGGCTTTTACTTCTTTCATTTTAGTACATATGCAGTAAAGACATGAAGAGGCAATGATGAGAAGGACTGATTCCAGCCTTTAAAGCATCCTCGTTGTCCTTTAAAGTCCCATGTCTTGCAACTTCAGGGGAAGGAGACCATTCTGAGCTCACAAGATGTGTCCAAGCAGACAAGTCCTGCCCCTCTCCCGAGGCGGAGCAGGGTCACCGTGAGTAGCACACTCTGCAGTATACCCTGGCTTCCTCTTCATCTGATTCTCAAAACAGTGTCATTGTGTAAGTAGGGAAGGAATGGTGGTTCCTATATTGTGAATCAGGATGGGAGGCAGAGAGCAGCAGTGGAAGCGGGGCTTAAACACTGGGATTGGGTCAGATCTGGGCTGGAGGCCTGGCCTGGGACCATGTAGGGACGGCAGGCACAGGCTTATAAGTACAGTGCGTGTTACCCAGAACAGCTGAGGGCAGGAGGTGGTGGAGGGAGTGCCGTCTGATGGACACCATGGCAGTGGCATTTGCAAAAGCTGTAAAACTCTCGTTTGCTTTTTCCTCTCATAGTTTCTTCATTTTCTATTCTGAGTATTTGATGGGGAAAAAAAGTTGATCGAACTGCAACTCAAGGCAGACCACTGCTAGTCCATGCAGTGCCTTTGTGAGAATTAGAAAAAGCCTCCCTTACTAGGCACACACATTCTTGGGGGTGCATGGGTTGGTGAGTGGATTCGGCCCCCAGCCAAGAATATTTGCGCAGTGCACAACTGTGGAACCGTACATGGCAACCCTGTCTCACAGGCAGGCCACCTTGCATTTGCAGCCACAGAGAGAGGGCTGCCTTCTCTCAGCAGGAGACATTCAGCCCTTCGTTTTGAATGTCCCAGCTTTTAAGGGTTAACTCCTCTTGTAGGCTTATCAGCTGAGCCTCCTTAATTTCTCTTTGGCGGTCGTTTCTCTTTTCTGTACAGCATTCTGTATGAGGGACTTTGAGCAACAGAAAAGAGCAGTCCGGCTT